CCCCCCCCCCCCCCCCCCCCTCTCTCTCTCTCTCTCTCTCTCTCTCTCTCTCTCTGATTCCCAATTCCATATGGAGAATAGAGAGAGGTATTCTAGAGTTAGGGTTTCGATTTATTTGGGCTGTGGAAATTTTTTTGTTGTTTGCCAAATGGTCTTGATTTGATGTTGTGTGGTGAAGGATTTGAAAGGATTGGCAGCTTAGTAGCCAGAGTTGGTCTGTACAGAGATGACATCGAATTAGTCGTTGCCCAGAGTTAGAAGGTTTATGCAAAACTAATATTTTTTAACGTCTCTGCGTTTGGTTTTTGTAAGTTTTTAGTATTTCTTTATTACTTTCAATATAATATTTTTCACATACATTATCTTCGTTACTCTCTTATTTATTTATCTATTATTTCTATATAGATGTTCATCCTACTCTGTTTTCCAGAAATTGGGGTTAAAATATGCTTCTATTCCATATTTCAGATTCCACACGACTGCATATGTTCGGTATGCTTATGATTCATTGGGTTCTTTTACAATTTATAGATAATGCGAAAAAAGAAAGAACGAAGTTTTGAAATTCATATTGGTTTCTGGGTTTACACTGAAATTGACGAAGCATATACGCACAAGAAGGCTTGAGGATGTACTAAAGCTTGGATATGATATGGTATGATTTATAACATCCCTGCCAATTGGGTTCTTTTTTCATACATGGATTTTCTCAATAACTTTCTGAACGTTTTGGGTTTTTTCTCTGATTTTTGTGCTCCTTTGCAGATTGTTCTCTTTCAATTTGGGCTAGGTGCTAACACCTACTATGTCAAATTGAAGCTATATGCCCAAGGAAATGTTATTCTCGCAGATTCCGATTTTATGGTCATGACTCTTCTTCGCTCGCCATAGGTTAGTGATTTACATCCATTTCTCTGCCATTTTAGTAATGCTCACATTCTTGCACATCAACTTGGCATTTTATGAGTAATAAGTCTACTTGCGGCTGTATGATCATACTCTTCTTCTAGTCTTATATATTGATTAGAAACATTGCTCAATTGTTCAATAAGAGAAACCCAAAAACTTCTGATTCTTTTGTTTTCCTTTTCTTAAGTTGAAATATTAATTAGGTGGTCAATTCTCATTTAAATAGGGATGATGACAAAGGGGTTGCGATCATGTCACACCATCGTTATCCAATTGAAATTGAAGCTTCTATTTTTTTTTTTCCGCATATTCTGTAGAAACAATGAGTCTTCATCTTAGATTCTACTTCCATTGCCTTTCTTCTAGGTGGAAGTTGATTTAGCACTTTCAGCACATGCCAATGACAAATTGTTTTCCAGTTAATTACATTTTGTTTCAAATAATATGCAGGAAAAAACTGTTGCTATCATTTCACATATATGCGCAAGGTTCACTGGTTTGAAAATTTTAACTGGTTTATCAGCAGTGAGAACTATTTGGTTATCAGTGGACGTGATGCCCAACAAAATGAGATGATTGTCAAGTGCTATATATCAAAAGGAGATCTGTAAATCAACTTAGACGTTGACATAATGTGTTTTAGTTCTCATCTACATAAACTGCCACTGAACAATAATTCATACCAGCTTGTGGATTCCTTATCCACTCTTTGTAATTAGATTTCCCACTTAGTCTCTATCCTATATTGCTTGGGTTGGAGAATTGGAGATACCTATAGTTAACACCTGGTTCCCTGTTTAGTCACTTTAGTAGCATGACAATCTTATAATAATTACAGGCCCCGTTTGGTAGGCTGTACTGGACTGGTTAGGATTGGGCTTGAAGTGTTAGACTGGACTAGTTTGGATTGGGCTAGACTTCAAGTGCTATTGAGTTGTTTGGTAGAGCACGAGACTGGATTAGACTTAAGTCCAGTCCATTGTTTGGTACAAGGCCACACTGGACAACATTGGACTTCATTTTTTTTTAATTTCAAAATTAATTTACTGTTTATTAGATTATTTAACATCATAAAAAAGATTATTGAGTTACAAAAAATTTATAATAAAAAAAAGAGATTGGGTCATGAACAGTCGGAGAAAAAAAACTACAATAGGAACTGCAATTTAGAAACAAACAGAACCTATCATCTTTGATCAAATAAATAAATAAAATACAAAACCCATCATCGTAAAGAAAAGAGACAATGAATTACAGAACCAATATTTATATTTAAAAAAACACAAAATTCTTATTTGAATTCTCGAAGCCTTTGATCCATGGCCTCTCGTAGGCAGAGATAGGAGATAGGAGACATGAGAAACAAAATTGTAGTCTAGCAAAACAAAGGTAATTCAAAACAAAATGAAAAGAATCCAAAGGGTGAAAGACAACATTCAGGAAAACAAAAAACAAAAAAAAAACCATAGATCTCGACCTCTAACCCAGAAAAAAGTGATGGCAATAATCAAAACATCTCAATATTTAACATTTAAATAAAAAATTTAGAGAGAAATCTGAGATGAGAGATGAGAGATGAGAGTTGAGAGTTGAGAGGAGAGGAGAGAAGAGAGAATCCAAAAAAAGAATCACAACTCCATAGATGTATTGAGGAAATAAATCTACCTTCAGAATGGCACAAAGAGGTGTTGAAGTCACAGGGGAGAATCAAAAGAAGAAAAAGAGACCATGAGAAGATTGAGGTGCTCGTACGCAGTGAAAGCCGGAGGCACAGGCTTCAAAACCCATGGTTCCGCTTGGGTTTACAAAACCCTCATTCACTGGATTATTGTCCGATCAAAATATGAAGTCCAACCAGTCCCAGTGTGCATTTAGGCCCACCAAACAACAGCTAGGATATAGTCCATTTTAATTGAAAAAGTCTGGTCCAGTCCAACCCACCAAACAGGGCCATTGAAGTCACTGAGTTTGTTCCTTTGGTTTATTCAGTTTGTGTTTATGGTGTTTCTTTTGTGGTGAGATAGTAATCTATTTGCAAGTGATTAGAATCAATGAATTATATTTGGATAAGATTTGTGTTTGTGGACTTTGATGTTAATTTTGTAAGTCTTGTAGAAGGACCCGTTGTTGCTGATATTGTTACAAGGGAGGGGAATACAACAACTTAGAAAAATGTGCAAGAAGGCAGAGCTAAGTCAACCCAAGAACAAATTGATGAAGTTCATATCAAATTAGTAGAATTTGTGAACTCCTTTATTTCTAATTATAGGTAGGAAGTATGTATGTAATAGAATAAAGTTTGGTTAACTATGTAATAACTATTGAATTTTCAAGTTTAATGAAAGAAATAATTTTTGGTTGTATATATTCATTAATAAAGCATTATAATTGGTTTCTAGTTAAAAACGTTGTATAGATCCATAGGAAACAAAAAATACAATGTAATAGCTTGGGTACTTATTAGACGACAAATATAAAAATAATAAAACGATGGCTTTATTGGAAAAATCGTCGTCTGTACATATAATCAATGACCCTTTTTAACACAATACCGTTGTTTTTATATACAATCAACGACGGTTTTTAACAAAATACTGACGTCTTTACTCATAAATGATGACGGTTTTTTATAAACCGTCGTCTTTACCCATAAATGACGACGATTTTTTATAAACCGTCGTCTTTACCCCATAACTAACGACGGTTTTTAACAAAAACTGTCGTCTTTACATCAGAACAACGACGGTTTTATTAAAAACCGTCGTCTTTACAGGTAAACAACGACGGGGAAAAGCCGTCGTAGTTTGATACTCCCAAAAGATGACGGTCGATTTAACGACGGTTTTCAAAGAATCACAACGACGGTAAATCTCCGTCGTCTATTTCGTTTTTTGTAGTAGTGTACTTTGGTGCCTCACAGCTTCAATCAAGCAAGATCGAAAATGAAGTGTGTAAAGTACATCATCAAGGATGAGATCCCTTTTAGGGCGGTGGAGGGGACGGGGTTTATGGATTTTATCCATGATTTTCAACCTAGATTCATGATTCATGATCCATAATAGGAAGAAGGTTGATAAGGGAGTGTGGGATTTGTTCTTAGTCGAGAAGACTAAGATTATGAGTGTGATAAAGTGATCAAAGAGTAAGTATCACAACCGATACTTGGACCTCTATCCAAAACATCAACTACATAATAGTCATCGCCCATTTCATAGATCATGAATGGAAGTTGCATAAGAGGATAATAAATTTCGTTAAGATCACAAGTCACAAGAGTGATGACATTGGGATGTGTTTAGATGCTTGTTTGAATAGTTGAGGGATAAAGAAGGTGTTTAGCATTACGGTTGATAGTGCTAGTGCAAATAATGGGGCGGTGGAGTATATGGCCAAGAGGTTTAAGTCATTGAACACTCTTATGCTTGATGGCAAATATTTGCATGTGAGGTGTGCTTGTCACATTCTTAATTTGGTTGTTAAGGATGGGTTGAAGGAGCTTTCTAGCTCAATTGAGGGGATTAGAAATTGTGTGAAGTACATACATTCTTCACTATGAAGGTTGGATAAGTTTAGGAATTTTGCCATTTTAGAGAGCCTGGATACGATGGCAAACATTCCTTTGGATGTGGCAACAAGGTGGAATGCCACTTATAAGATGCTTGATGGTGCATTTAAGTATAAAAATGTGTTTACTAGGATGGCGGATGAGAATGCTCCATTTGTTGCTTACTTTAATGAGCTTTAGAAGGATGGGAAAAAAACCTTGTGAAGAGAGTTGGGCCACCAACTGAGTCGGATTGGGAGAATGCACGAGCCTTTGTGCATTTTCTTAAAAAAATTTGTGAAACCACCCTAAAGCTTAGTGCCACCAAAACTTGTACATCCAATATCATGTTTATCGAATTGGTTGAGTTACAAGTTGAGATTGAAAGAAAAATTAAAGATGAGGGGATGAAACTTTGCAAAAGGTGGCTTCTTCAATGAAGCTCAAGTGGGATAAGTATTGGGGTAGCTTTAAGGGTGTCAACAAACTTGTGTTTATAGGGAATGTGTTAGACCCTAGATGAAAGCTTGCCTTGCTCAAGATTAGCTTCCATAATCTTGGAGTCGAAGCTTCAAAGGTTGAAGCTATTGGGGATGAAGTCCAAAGTACCTTGCTCACTTTGTATAATGAGTAGAGGGGTTGGTAACTTGGGTCCTCTACAAACACTAGATGAGGGGGATGATGACGGTTTGGAAGATGAGCTTGATGGTGATGACGCTCATTGTCAAATATTGAGGGAGATGTTGCTTCAAAGGAAGGAGGAACAACAAATGGAGATATCTAATGAAGTTGATAAATACTTTGCCGATCCATTTGAAAACCCAAGGAACAAAAACTTCAACATTTTGGATTGGTGGAAAGGGAATCAATCAAGATGTCCAATCCTTTCCAAGGTTGCCAAGGACATATTTGCAATCCCTTCCTCTACGGTTGCTAGTGAGAATGCCTTTAGCCTAGGCAAAAGGATTGTGGATCCTTTTATGTTGGCGTGAGTCCTATTTTAGGTAGGAAATTAATATAAGGATTCTTGTAAATATTGTATTACCTGTTCTGTTAGGATTAGTTTTTATCTTTTCCTTGGGTAAGAAGGCATTGTACACTATATATACACCTCCTTTGCAAGAAGAAATATATCTCAGAAATTTACCATATATCCTTATATTTGACTTTTTTAGAAGTTCCTTGACTCCAAAAATGGTAGAGGCATTAGTGTGTACTCATGATTGGCTTAGGGCGGACGAATTTAACTTATACAAGGAACCAACGGATTAGGAAATTGCTTTTATAAGGAACTTAAAGAAATTCAACCAAGTAAGTATTTCAATTATTTATCTTTAGATTTTATTGATACTTTGATGGTTTAATGCTTCTACTAATATGTACATATTCTTATTTATTTTTTCATGTAGTGGCTGCTAAGGCTCAAGGTGGTAATGCTCAAGTTTCTACTTCAACAAGCATTTTGCCTCCTTCAACTCCATCACATTTGTAATGCTCAAGTGAAGTGCCTACTTTTGTTTGGGTTGTAAACTAATTAAAACTTCTACTTTATTTTGGGTTGTAAACTAATTCAAACTTCTTTTTTTGTTGGGTTGTAACTTAAGTTAACTATGTTGTACTTTGGATTTGGATGTTTAGTTTTAGGCTTCAATTTATGTTTTGAGCATGTTTAATTGTAGTTTTAGCTTTCAGGCTTCAATTTCTCATTTTATCATGTTTGCCCAACTACAACTGTCCAAAAATAGTCCTTAAAACATTGCTCAACAAAACTAGACTTAAGAACTGCATTCAAATCCCAAATTGCAGCCCAGAAAATATGAAGTGGGCTAAAAAAATTTGGTCAAAAAAACCCAATTTGTTTGTTTCAGTAGGCCAACCACTGAACCAACCTGACCGTTACTTGCGGTATTACCGACATTTGGAGAATCGACTACTAATCAGTTGGCAGTGGTTTCAATTTTCATTAAATCGACTACTCTTGATTGGTCATCGGTACTGGCCCATCGATTCAGTTACCAAACCGATTCCACCCCTAGGTAATACTTCCAATTTTTTGGCACAAACATCTTCTAAAACGGCCTACCTAGCTCTCTACTACCCACTTCCCAAAATTTGAAAGTTGTCCCATTTCCTTCAAATTGAAAGCATAATTCACTTTTCACCAAAAAAAAAGAAAAAAAGAAAAAGCATAATTCATCAAAATTCTCAAAATCCCCAAATTCAAAAGTCAAATTTACTCGAAGAAAGTACGTCACATGTCATTCACATGATTAAAATTTGCATAAAATGTGATGGAGAAAATGAATTGGCAAGAATGAGAGAGTTGGAGGACCAAAACTATATGAAAATTAGTTAGATGACAAAAGAAAACTCGGATATAAGTTCACTGAGCATTGCGATTAAAAACCCTTTCTAATGAATATTTGTAATTGATTCTTGCATTTATTAAGCATTTGCGATGAGTCTATTTTCGTATATTTCCCCCTTTTTTAACAAAATAATTTTTCCTCCTATTCCTTGTCATATACTGGATAATTTTACCCAAAGCAAATAGAATAGGGAAAAGGGCCGGGCCGGGTCGCTGGGCAGGAGATACGAAGAGAAAAACGAATCTTATCCCAATATGCCGTTCATACCCATCTAGGGTTTGTCCAATGATATAATAATATAAATAGGAGACGATGATGATTCAGATCGCCCTCTTCGCATAATATCTCTCACTACTTTAAGCCTCTGGCCGCCTCACTACAACCCTCTCTCGCAATGGCCATTACATTCTCAGATCTCTACACCGAAGCCGGCCTCAAGTCCCTCGACGACTTCCTCGCCGGAAAATCTTACATCTCCGGGTAATTTCTTCTTCTTCTTTTCCTTCGTTTTGTTCTTGTTTTTGGTGTAGATACTAAAATTGATGAATAATTCAAAACCCTACCAGAGACCAGCTTACTCTGGATGACATAAAGGTGTACGCGGCGGTGTTGGGGAAGCCCGATTCCTTTGCGAATGTGAGCAAGTGGTACGACAGCGTTTCATCCCAACTCGCCGCAAACTTCCCCGGCAAGGCAGTCGGAGTCAGAATCGGAAGCGGCAAGGCTGCTGCTCCTGCTGCTCCTGCTGCAGCCGGAGGAGATGACGACGATGACTTGGATCTCTTCGGTGATGAAACCGAGGAGGACAAGAAGGCAGAAGCAGAGAGAGAGGCAGCCAAAAAGGCATCTACCAAGAAGAAGGAGAGCGGCAAATCCTCTGTTCTTCTGGATGTCAAGCCTTGGGATGATGAAACCGACATGAAGAAGCTCGAAGAGGCTGTTCGCAGTGTGGAGATGGAGGGTCTCTTCTGGGGAGCATCAAAATTGGTTGCAGTTGGTTACGGGATCAAGAAGTTGCAGATCATGCTCACCATTGTCGATGACCTCGTCTCTGTCGATGACCTCATTGAGGAGCAGCTTACTGCTGAGCCACGCAACGAGTATATCCAGAGCTGTGACATTGTTGCCTTCAACAAAATTTAAATCTACTGCAGTGCTCGTTGTTGATTTCATAATTATTGATTCGACTTGGACTTGGACTTGTGGTAGGAAGGAAGGAAGGAAGGAATTTTCGTGAGGGAATTTACTTTTGATCTTTATATGATGATATATGCTTTTAATTAGTGTTTTCAGTTTTTGGCCTCTGCTATTTTGACTTGTGTAATTTTTTTTTTTTCCAATTTCCAGTTAGTGTGTTGACTAAAATATGAATGCTTCTGTCAAAAAATAATTTCAATCTCTTTGTGGTTACATTGGAGTTGGACCTTGGGGTTCGAACTGGGGTGCTGCCATGGGGGGAAGGGGGAAGCGGGAAGCGGGAAGCCACCACCACTCTTTGTTTACCAATGAAGTCAAATTTTGAGAAAGTGGTTGTGTGTTAGGTTGCTGCATCATTCGTATGGTTTATTCTGATACAGTGTTAGCATTAAGCTTTGTGTTTGGATTATATAATTGGTTTTGTGTTAGGTTCTATTTGATTTTGATTAACTTTGTTTTTATCTTTTACGTTCGAATTATGATCATGGATTTAGATGTGGTTCATAATGATTTAAGTTTTGATGAAAAACAAGATACAATTGAGCCAAAAATGCGTCAAGTTGGTTTGGTTCTCCTCCATAACCAAACACACGAGTCTCTCAATAGAAAACCCAGTACAAGGGCACTGGATAAATAATTTTCTTTCTCTTCCTCCATTCTCATTTCTTCCCCCATCTGTGTTACTGAAATTTTCCTTTTTATTTTTATTTTTTGTCCTTTCATCTCCCTCCCCTCTCTCGCACTCTCAGTCTCCTTCCTCCATTCTCATTTCCTCCCCCATCTATGCGGGTGAAATTTTCCGTCTTTTTTATTTTTTATTTTTTTCCTACTAGCCCCCCCTCTTCCCCATCTCCAGTCCCCCATGCTTCTCCCTCCACAACACTCTCTTCCCTGTTGCTTTCATCTATGGCAATAGCATAACTTTTCATTCTGTTATTTTGTTCATAATGGTTTTGGCTGAGTTCTTCTGCATTGATATATGACTAATTTATGGTTTTGAGTAAGGAATTGGTCTTTTTTTTTTTTTAGGAAAACGGAAACAAGTTAGGAAAAACAGTAGACCAGAAAAAAAACAACAA